TTTTTTTGTTCTTTGATGCCTGATACCTGATCCCATTGACACCCTGTGATCACACAGGCTGTGTGCTTCTTCTTCCATGTGGGTGGCATTGAAGAAATTAATGTTGGGTAATGGCAAGCAGCATGGACCAAGACTGCAGACACAGAGATCCATTAGGACACCATCATGCACATCACAAAGTTGACAGTGAGCATGGAGAGACAAATCTAAGGGTTTGAGGAAGTGGTGGCAGGTTGAAAAGGATGAATGAGGGAAGGGAGGAGGCTTGGGTTTCTGCGTTGGGCAACTAAAGTAGAACTAAAAGTGGAAGGGCCGCTCAGAATGGGTGTGGGAGGCAAGCAGGAGGCAAGATGTCAAGTTCCGTTTGGGATATATCAAGTTTGAGCTCCCTAGAAGACATGTAGAAGTACAAGGTGAAGCTAACAGTTTGAGTCAACGACTAACCTAAAAGGTTGGCGGTTCAAACCCACCCAGAAGTGCCACAGAAGAAAGGCCTGGTGACCTGCTTCCAAAAAGATCACAGTCAAGAAAACCTTATGCATCAGGCCTACTCTGTAACACACTGGGCTGCCCTTGAATTAGAGTCATCCTGCCAGCAAAGCATTTTACTGCCGTTGCTGTTGTTGTTATTTTACTTCCAGTGAAGACATCCAGTGGGCTCTTAGAAGGGTGGATCTGTACCTCAAAGGATCGTTTGGACCAGAAATGTAGATGTTGGTATTGTTGTGGGTGGAAACTGAGGGGTGGCTGAGAGTAACTGGATATGGCATGGAGAGCAGTGAAGAAGGCCAAGGATGGAGTCTTGGGAAAGAGACACCAGGGGGACTCTGAAAGAAGAGGAGGAGCCCCTGGAGCAGACTGTCCCGGCCTGCAGGTCAGAGACAGACCTGAGGAGGCACAGCTGTGGAGCCCCTCCCTCCCTGTTATTAACCTTATAGGGGGGCAGAGTAGAACTGCCCCTGTGAGTTTCTGAGACAGCAACTGTTTACTGGAGCAGAAAGCCCTGTCTTGACCCCAAGAAGCGGCTGGTGGCTTTGAACTGTGGACCATTCAGATCGCAGCCAAATAAGTAACCATTACACCACACGTCTTTAAAAGGGGGTCTTTAAGAAGGGAGAGTTGGCCACACTATTAAATGCTCATGCAAGTAGGGAAGACAAGATGTGCTCTGGAATTGGCAACTAAAAGGTAGTAAGGAACCTCAGCCAGCCGGTTTCAATGAAGTGGTGGGGGCGGGGAAAGCAGATGGCAGGGGGTAAGGGATGGAGGCATGAAAGCTAAAGGAGATCACCAGCAAGTGGGGTTTCAAGAACTGGATGAATATGGGACTAAAAATGATGGACAAAGCAGAGACAACTGGTTCCAGGCACTGGTCATCAGAGACCACCATTGGGAAGCTTCTTCCTGGTGTTAAAGGATAAGTGGGATTCTGGTTGGAGCTAAGAATAGAGTCAAGGTGACTCCTGGCAGTGGTCTTAGAATTCCAGACTTATTTGGTCCAGGCTTGGAAGACAGGGCTGAGACTAAAACCTGCCAGCCTGATTCACACAGCATAGCAGAAAGCATTTGGATCGTGGAGCATGCCCATGGGTTTATGCTCTGGGTCTGCTTATTGGTTGCATCATGGTCGTCCTGTTGAAGCACGTCGCCCTGCTGTAGACTTCTCGACGAGAATTAAATGAGGTACACTTAGAAACAGTTCAACACAATGGAAGTTCCAAGATCCTCAACTATAATCCACAGCCACTCTCCTTTCTCTCCTCCTCATCCTCTTTCCTTTGAGCACCTAACACCCTCTGGGCTTCAAATCGCCACTTTGGAGCTACAACTTCCTAAATGTCCAGTCCTAATCTCTCGCTGGCAGTTCCAAATGCTTGTCTGTCTCTTCATCGGAGAACTCACTTCCACCGCAGACTCGGCCAACCCTGACACGTTTGCTCAGACGTGCCAGCCTTTCTGAACTCCTCATTGTAAGTCACAGGAGGCACGTGCTTCCCAGCTCCTGAACGAGGCATCTGAGCATCGTCTTGATGTTTACGTGATCAGCATGGGGCTGGTAGGAGCCATCAGACTCAGTTGAATGAGGAGAGTTTAATAAAGCATCATTTACAAGGGAGACCCATCAGGGATGGAGACGCCTCTCCTGGAATTAACCGTTGGAACTACTTCACCGTTAGGCAGGGGAGGAGCAGGCGCTGCGGCCTGAAGGAGAAGCTGCGGCTGTAGGAGAAGCTGACAATCTCCAGGGTCTCTGGATAGAGGGACCCAGTCAATCCGGGATGACACAGAGAGGGGCAAGTCCTGGAAAGAAAGATCTCTTACCTCATCTTCCAAACCCCTCTCTCCTGCCCTAGCCTTCCATTGGCTGAAATCAACCATGTCTGAGGACAAGGGAGCCTGTTGATACAATTCATCCATCACGGCTCAGCCTCCTGAGCACAGACAAAGACGGAGGCTGCGTCTGCAGGGGGAAGTGGCATCCATCCAGCACACTTGCCTTTTTGGGGTGCCCTCGAGTCAGAATGGTTTCAAACTCTTATTCATTAATCTACCACCTTAACTCCTGTTGGGGGTGCCATCGTTCCTGGGGCCACGCCAAGTACATCGCATACCGTGTGGTTCATTTAACTTTCACAACTGTCTGTGGCGAGGGCTCTTACGATCTTGGGATTACAGTTGAGAAAACGGAATCTTGAAGAGTTCAAGTTGCCTAGAGTCAGACACGTAGTACGTGACGGAGCCTGAACTTGAGCGCTGGTGGCTCCTCCCTTGTAGGCTCACTGTCCTATGCCCATGGCTCCCGTTGGCAACTGCTCTCCCATTCACCCATTCCTTGCCACTGCCACGAATGCTGCCTGCTCCAGGACCACCTGACCAGCATGCAAGCCTGATTTAGGTCTCATTTCTTCCATTGAACCAATCCAGGGTATTTTTTAGGGATGATTCCTGACACAATTTTCGTCTCCCTCACACCTCGCCTGCCCCGGACCAGACACAGTAGTGCCGATGATGCGGTACATCTTCAAGATGAGCCCTGGGCTGCACGAGGCTGTGCGTGGCCAAGTCTGGAAGACCCCCTCACAGTTGTGGGTTAGGTCTTCCTGCTCTTCGCTTCTCAGTTCATCCTCCAAGAGCCTTTAGACTCAAACCCAGGCCCTCTAACTTCATTTCTGTTTTGAATTTCTGGGGACTTCAGGCATCCCTCCTAGAGGGTGAAGTTCCTCCTCTGTGAAATGAGAATAAAATCTACTTCCAAGCACTTACAACTTTGCTGTGTGGATTAGATAGGATAAGGAACGGGCAAGTGTTTGGTAAGGGAAAAGTCATCTTGCAAGTACGTTGGCTAATCAATATCCCAGTCAGGATATTGCGTGGCTTCCAGGCAGATGGCCAGCAGTAACTGTGCTCCTGCAGGCTGTACAATGAGGTGCTGTGACAGGTGAGCTGGGTTGTAGGTCATATGCTTTCACATGTCAGATTCAGAAACACAACAGTTGGTGTTGCCAGGAGAAGGATAGTCCTGTAAGGGATACAGGAGCCCTGGTGGCATAGTGGGTTATGTGTTGGGCTGCTAACCACAAGGTGAGCAGTTGAAACCCACTAGCCACTCCAGAGGAGGAGGCTGAGGCTTTCTGCTCCCGTAAAGATTTAGAGCCTCGGACCCCGCAGGGACAGTGCTGCTCTGCCTTACAGGGTCGCTATGAACCAGAATGGACTCAATGGCGGGGAGCTTGCTTTTGGTAAGGTATACCATTTGGGGGACAAGCCCTCGCACTCGCAGGCTGGCCTGTGGATGATTACAGTGATGCTATTGCTGTAGGTCCTGGAGAAACTGCAGGGACATCTGGAACTGCTGGAGCAGGAGTTTCTGGCCACCAAGGAGAAGCATCTGACTTGGCAGCAGCAAAGCTACAAGCACAAATCTCCGGCTGTCGGTGACTTTGATCCAGAAAGGTCAGGCTTAAACAGGTTGCTTGAGGCGAAGCGTTCAGAGCTGACCTCCTTCAGGTGCGATTCTGGTGGTGGCTTCTGGCTTAATTTTTGGATCGCCACGGGTCAGCAAAAAGTGTCACCTCCCCCCCACCCCGCCCAACAAAGCACCAACAAATACTTAGACACACCTGTTATGTGTAGGGTCCTGTTCTGGAGGCAGAGGGTGCATCCAATAGGAGCAAGAGTCACAAGGAGGAGCGATGTGTCAAGATTTTGTATTTGTTGGGTGTCGTTATACTTGACTCTGTAGCTCAGAGGAGCCAAGCACACCCTAGAGAAACTCACATGCAGACCCCGAGGGCCCTCTCTCCTCCCAAGCCCACCCATTCTCTGCTTTCTTCTCTTCTCTTCTTTTCCTCCTCTCCCCAAACTGGCCGGTGTGGCCCGACAGGCCTCTTCTTCCATCGCTTTACTATGAGCTTGGTTCGTGTTGGGAGCTCGAAAGAAAGACAGGGTTTTCTGCTACTCCTGTGAAGAGTTACAGTCTTGGAAACTTACAGGGGAGGTTCTACTCTGTCCTCTAGGGTCGCTACAAGTCGGTATTGATCCGATGGCCAAGATAAAGGGAAAATATTACAACTGAAAGTTAAATGATCCTGGAGTGAAGTTGTTCAAGGAGCCCTGGTGGGTAGCGAGCTGGGCTACATCGGACAGCTCACTGCAGAGTCCTTGGACTGAACCCACCAGGGGATCCCTGGGAGAAAGAGGCCACTTCTTACTCCTGCCAAGAAGGAGAGTTTCGGAAACCCACGGGGCCCATCAGGCCACCATGAGTCAGCGCTGACTCCCTGGTAGTGGTTGGAGTGAATTCACATTATAGGCTTGGAGGCACAATCACATGAAAGTACGCATTTGGCCATTTTTGCAGCACTGTGCTCTTCTCTCGCCAAGTCAGACCATTTAAGATGTATTCCAGGACTCAAGGCACGATCACTTCCATGATTTCCTGGTAGGAATCCATTTAATAAGCTTAATATTTGCATATTCAGCTCTTTCTACTCACAGCTTTCTAACACATTCATTCTTGATGCCAAAATATTTTTATGGTTTTTATGTTGGCACTAGCATCCTGGAGTGTGTTTTTTGCCACTCCACTGCTCCTTCCCTGAGGTACAATTTTACTTCTTTTTTAAAAAGAATGGAACATCTGTTTACTATTATTGCAATACAGAGTAATTTAGACAACAAAGATGGGTTTTAATATTAACTTTCCCTCAAAGCTTATTACTGTCTCCACACATTGCCTCCTGAGGGGGCTGGGAAAAAAGATCTCCACATGCTTTTAAAATTTGTTTAAACGTTTATAGAGTAATGGCATTTATTTTTCACGGACTCCCAATCGTTTGGTGGTCATTCTACAGATGGGCCTTTCTGCACATTGAGACCGGAGTTTATTTATAGTCTCTTTACAACCACAGTGCCTGGCACCAGTGTGACTCGAAAGAAGCTCAACTGCAATTACATGCCATATACAGAAGAGGCTTTCAGCCCCGGGCGAGGGAGGGGCCCAGCTCCTCCCCATCGCTGCGAAAGCCACCTCAGGACAGCAGAAGCGGGGGCAGCTTGAGGCTGGTGGCCGCTGCACTGGGATGGGCATGGTGTGGCCGTGAGCCGAGTCGCGGGCAGCCCTGGCAGCTTGGTATGCAAAGAACTTTTTAGGCACTGAGCCCACAGGTCTTTTGTGGACCGCTTTCTGTAGATGTAAGAATCCTGCGCAGTGGTTGATGAATCCCTTGTGTATTGGAAGCCAGCTGGTCTGCTCTCCTGCAAAGTGCCGCCTTTAAAAGGTCATGTGCAGAAAGCCCTGCTTGGATTCCAGGCATCTCGGTATTTGGGATGGACTTCACAGAACCGTCACCATGCATGGGATTCTCGCACACACTAACCCCAGAAGCCAAGGAGGCAAGAAGTGGGGGGTCTACTTTATCACTCCTCACTCCCTGCGGCTCTCAGTATAGAATCGTGCCTCTTGCTTTACAGGAAAAACAAACAAACCCAAATCTCTCAGAAATGCCCTCGATCCGTCTCTAAAGAGTGGTGCTTTCACCCACCCCTCCCCCCTTCACCAGTTTACAGCCCCTCCAGTCCCACCTGGGAGCCATCCCTTCCCACGACCTTGATGCCTGGGCTGCTTCTCTCCACGCTCACTCCTCAATGTCTCTCCTGGTCCCTGCTACTGCCTGCTGGGTTATGAACGTATTTTCCTATATCTTATTCCATTTTTAAAATCACTTTGGTTTTTCATGCTTCCTAGTCTTCTTTGTCCCACCACTTAAGGAATAGGACAGCCCTTACCCATGGGTTGAAGAGGTCATTTGTATCAGACACCATGTACCTGGGCCTGGTCCTATTTTACCCTGTTGACCTAGAGGCTGATTCCTATGTCCACCACATAGTTTGTAATTGCTATTGTTTAGTGTGTATTTTGAAGTGTTTCTTTCCAGAACATTTTTGGTTTTTCACCATTCTTGTGCAGTCCTCTTACTAACAAACTTCTTAAGCAGTTTGCCAAGTTTTCTGAATGAAATCCTATTAGAACTTGATTTTGGATGGTGGTAAATTTATAGATTGTTAGAAGGAGTTGAAATCTTTGCAGTGAACATTCCCACCCAGGAACGTGTTTTCTTCTTGCAGATTATATACATTTGAGCATTCCTCGTTTTGTTAGGGTTTTTCTGATACTTGGGAATGTTCTCTTTAAGTGGGACGTCGGAAATACATTGCATATTTAGCTTGTACAGGGGCTACCTTATGCAACTCTCTCCTTGGTGGTTTTGCTGGTTTTTCAGTTGTGGCTTAGTGGTTATGCCCTGGGTTGCTAACTGCAAGCAACGCGGTTTGAAACCCCCAGGCACTCTGAGGGAGAAAGACGAGGCTTCCGACTCCTGGAAAGAGGCGGTTAGTTCTCCCCTGCCCTCCAGGTCGCTGTGAGTTGAGTTGACTTGATGGCAGTGAGGTTTGGGAGCGTTCTAGTTTGAAGTTTGAAAACTATGTCAGGGTCTGTGGCGTCAGCTCAGACGCATCGCGACCCACGTACAGCGAAATGAACCTCTGCCTGGTCCTGCCCCATCCTACGCCAGCTGTTAGGTGTGCGCCCGTTGTTGCAGCCACGGCGTCAGCCCAATTTGCCCAGGGTCTTCCTCTCACTTGCTGCCCCTCTACATGACTAAGCGTGAGGGCTTTTTCCAAAGCACGAGAGACGAGGGTTCCCTGTCCTTTCTTCTAAGGAGCATGGCTCTGCTCCTTCCAGGAAAGATTGATTTGTTCTCCTGGCAGCCCATGGTACTTTCATTATGAAAATCATAACATCTGAAAATAATATTTCCACTCCTTTTTTTCCCCTCCCAAGCATTTGGGAGCAATCTCTTACACAAGAGGCTTCAAAAAGTTTGTGGGAAAATGGAATTGAAATATCATGAAATATTTTCATGAATGATCGAAGCCTCCTTGTAAGCATTGCTTTATTGAGCTTGCCGTTCTTTGCAGGGCAACACTGAATCGTAGGCGTGAAAGCAAGCCCACTTGCCATGGTCTTCGTGTTCACGGACATGCTTCGTGTGGTGACTTCTGTAGGTCCAAGGAGATAAGCTTGATCGAGGAAGATTTCTTCTGTTCCAGAATCTACGCGCTTTCTTTCTTTCTTTCTTTTTATTTTATAAAGTTTTAAAAATCTTTTTAGAAGTCCGTATAGATTTTCCTTTCTTTTTAACTTAGTAAATTATTTGAATAAATATCCTAATATCGAACCATAGGACGAGCAAGGGTACTTTCTGTTTTCTTTTTACTCCAGAAGGGTTGAGTAACACAGAAATGACATGTTCCTTAAGGTCCCATCACAATTTATTAAGAATGCCTCTTGGGCTTAGTTCTTTCCTGAAGGTAGACTTTTGCTAACCGATTCTGTTTTTATCCGGGTAGTTTATTTTTCTCAGAATTTCCATTCTTTTGAGTGAATTTTAATAACATATTTTCCCAGGAACTTGTCCATTTTACCTCGATATTAAACTGTTTACATGAAATTGTTTAATTCTTTTTTATTTAAAACCTTTCCTGACACCTGGGTTTCTCTTCGGATCATATAGACCTTTGCCTTTTAAAATTTCCCCATTATATTGTCCTCCTCAGTCCTGCTTCTCAGGCAGACTTTTTTCAGGAGTTTATTTTATAGATATTTTCAAAAAAAACACTTCATTTTTCCCATCAAATTTCTTGAAGTTTTATATATTTTTGCTTACGTTCATGAATCTCTTCTTTTTCTTATGTTTACTTTGTGATATTTTTTTCTTTCTTCCTGTTTTGAATACTTAGTTTAAAATTTTTTTGAATCTTTCCCTTAGTTGTTCATTTTAAGACTATACATTTTCCTTACAGTGCTCTTTTAGCTGAATGACTTTGATTTTCATATCTTTTTTTCCTCAGTATCTCTAATTTCCATTTCATTTTTTTTCTTAAACTCAGAAGATTTCTAGAGGGGTGATTTTTTAGAACCACAATTAGATACATTTTGTCTTGTTTTGTAATCTTTTTGTTATTACTTTCTAGTGATCAGAGAATGTGAACTGTATGATTTTTAATATTTTGATTATTTTGAGCTTTTCTTTGTGGATCAATATGAGGTACATTAAAAATATATGAGGTACATTTTTGCAAATGTAATGGATTTAAAGAAAATAGATTCTGTTCTCTGGGTAAAAATATTTAAATTAATATGCATAAAATAATATAGATTGGATCAAGCTTATTAAATTATTCAAAAATATTGATTTATTTTTCATTAAAATAATTTTTTTTCTTTCTCTTTTTTTATTAAGATAAAACCTCCTGTACAATCACAGCTGTTAGAGTTGTAAAAAACAAAAACCTGCTGCTATTAAGTGGATACAAATCATAGTGACTCTATAGGGCAGGACAGAAGTGCCCCTTGGGTTTCTGAGACTGTAACTCTTTATGTGAGTAGAAAGTCTCAAATCGAACTGCTGCTGACCTTGCAGTTAGCATCCCAACACATGACCATGACACCGCCGGGCTTCCTTACAATTGTAAGGGATCTTGATCTCATTAGATTGGTAAGCAAGTGATTGTTATCTCTAGGCTGTAGCTAAGCCACTCAGACCCAAACCAAACTCACTGCCATCGAGCCGATGCCAACTCACAGCAACCCTAAAGGACAGGGTAGAAGTGCCCTTTGAGTTTCCGAGACTGCACTCTTTATGGGAGTAGAAAGTCTTGTCTTTCTCCTGCGAGTGGCAGGTAGTTTCAAACTGGGAACCGTAACCACTACCCACCGGGGCTCGACCCAGAAATATTCAGAAGCTTCTTTATCCAAGGTCATAGAACCAGTGAACAGTAAAATGAGGATTGGAGCCCAAGCTTTCACGGGCACACCATAAACAGGACGCCAATCAGGGCTGGTGTCCGTTCTCCTTGCTGCTGGGACACAGTCACAGTAGAGATCGAAGCAACACACACGAGTGGTAGTTCCTGCGTCACAATGCCGGCAGCAGGGCAGAGGATCGTGTATTTGATTGTGCTTGTGTTTGCTTCTGCTTACTTAGGAAAGTGGAAGGGGAAATCTTCAAGTTGGAGATGCTACTTGAAGGTGTTAAAGAGAAAACCGATGAGCACAAATATACCTCACCTCCCTCTCTTCCTGCGGGCTCTCCCATCATCCTGGATGACTTGTTATGCACATCTCCTCCACCCTCAAATGAGGTAATTTAGCAGCCTGCAGCCTAATTTGGTGCCTGGAAAGAAATGGCTTGAATGCCTTTGTAAGATCTGACTTCATGGAATTATGGCTGTTTTAATACTTCATGGAAACATCCAAAGTCCTAGGAATCATATTGCCTGAAACAGAAATTAAAATTAAAATTAAAAGCTTTTTTAAGCATTGGCCTTTTGAAAAGTCCCCTCTGTTTTGGGATGTAACAAATGTAGTGTAAACTGATGACCTGTTAAAGAGCTATTTCTTTGGGATGAATACTACACATTTTGTGGATTGGATCTGGAAGAAATCCTTTTACTTCTTGATTGCTTTGTACTCTTCCTTCCAAATAAAGGATAGCATGTCTGTGACTTCCCATGAGCCCAGTTCTAATTTTCCCTCCTCTCAAGAAGAATCCCCTGGGCTTGTCTACCTTTGCAAGGCTGAGAATTGAAAGCAGCCACCACGCTCCCTCTTCGTTCTCCACTCGTGTATGTGCAATTCTGGGAAACTGAGTCATTGGGCTGACTGCCTTCAACTAACTCTGTAATTGTCACACAGCTCTGAAAGACAGACTGTGGCTAAGGTTCAAAACGTGAATGAGGTTTCTTGTCGGCGCTAAGGACATGACGAAGATTATGTAAATGTTTGTCTTCCAAAGAAGTGTGTTTGCCTCCTTAAAATACTCAGCTGCCTGGCAGCGTGAGGTTGTTTGTGTAACCTTGATAGCCAGCCTCAGAAAACAAACCCTCACGGCCATTAAGTGGGTGCAGACTCTGCGTAGCCGTATGAGGACAGGGTGGAATTCCCCCGGAGGGCTTCTGAGACTGCAATTCTTTCTCGTTGTTGGGTGCCATTGAGCCAGGTCCAACCAACAGCCACCTTCCACAGGACCTAACGAAACCCTGCCCAGGCCGGTGTCCCAGCACAGGATTGTGCATGTGAGGGTCCCTGTGCCGAAGCCCAAGGTGGCATCCACTCTGTCAACCCAGCTCATTGAGAGGGACTTCCTCTTTTTCGCTGCCCCTCTGCTGGATGGGAGCAGAAAGATTCATCTTTCTCCACTGAGCAGCTGGTGGATTTGAACTGCTGACTTTGCCATTGGCAGCCCACCGGGGCTCCTCGGCCACCTACCACCTTTCCGCTGTGTTCTGTGTCCCCCGGCCCTGGGTCTCCGCTGTGAGAGCTGTGCCCATCTTTGTATCCTGAACATCTGATGAATGTCTCACCCAGAGTCCATGCTGTGGCGTTCAATATTGTCAACCCCAACCCACCGTGGGTTGCATCAATTTCAGTGCTTTGCAAGTTCTATAGCATTTATTCACACACACACACACACACACACACACACACACACACACACACCCCAGGACTAAATGAGCAGGCCAGGACCTGGCCAGTAGCTCATCTTCATTGGGCCCCACATTTACAGCAACTATTGTGAAATGATGACAACTCTATTACCTGGTGATGGGTTGCCCTGAAAAGAGCCAGGATGTCAGTTTGAAGAGTAAGGTGCATCTTACTCCAGGTAGGGTAATTTCAATCTCCTCATATGCATGTGAAAGTCAGACATTGACTGAGGAAGATTGAAGAAGAATGGATGTCGTTGAGTTACAGTGCATGTGAGGAAAACGGAAAGTCTGTGGACTGTTTGAAGAAAAGCAAATCTGTCTCAGTAGTACAGCCAGAATGCTCCTTGCAAGCCAGGGTGGAGAGACTTTGTCTTAGGACATTGGACGCATTATGAGGAGAGACCGGTCCCTGGAAAAGAACATCATGCTTGGCACAGGAGAGGGTTGGCCGAAAAGAGGAAGATCCTCAAGGAGATGAATTGACTCAGTGGTTGCGACCATGGCTCAAACAGAACCATCCTTGTGAGGATGGCGCAGGGCAGGGCAGCTTCTCCTTCTGTCGGGCACAAGGTCAGCATGAGTTGGAACCAACTCGATGGCACTAACAACAACCCCTCTTACTTTGTGACAAGTCATCCTGAAAGGAAAGTCTACTGCTCGTGCTAATGTTTTCATTTATTTGGTAATATTTATTGCTATATGCGAGGCAATTTCCTAGCATATCGTGATAAAACATTCAGGTACTAACAGAGGTTGAAGGTTTAACTTCACCTAGACGTGTCTCAGAAGAAAGGCCTGGCAGTCTACTTCTAAAAGATTCCAGCCACTGAGAACTGTGTGGAGCATGGTGCTGCTCTGACACATGATCACCAGGCTTTGGAATCACTGGACAGCAAGCAAGTTTCTTTAGGCAGCTTTCTGAGTACTGTAGACATGGTTTAGATAAGGCACATAAACACCTACCTCAAGATTCTTTCATTTCATTAAAAATAATTTTAGTGACATATAATTCACATATCATACCATTTATTGCTCAATCAAAATAAGAAGAGTTGTTCAATCATTGCCACAATCAGTTTTAGAACATCTTCTTGCCATACTCATGGTTGTTAGCTCCCTACTTCCCCTAACCCTCCCCTGCCATAGTCCTAAGAAATTATGAATCCAATTACTGTCTCAATAGGTTCATCTGTTCTGGATTTCATATACAGAAAATCATACAACACACACCAACAAACCCACCACCAACAATGACAAAACAAAACAGAAACCTTGATAGAAAAGAAAGCAGAAAATGTTAAAAACAGAAACCTTAAAAATTTTAGATTCCAAAGGAAGATCACAAATATGGGTGAAGGGAGACAGCGGTTGGTATATGATATGAAAGCAATAATAATTTATAATGTATCAAGTGGTCACGAGTTGGGGGAAGGAAGGAAAAAAGAGGAGCTGATACCAAGGGCTCAAATAGAAAGTAAATGTTTAGAAAATGATGATGGCAGCATATGTACAAATATGCTTAATACAATTGATGTATGGAATGTTATAAGGGCTGTAAGAACTCCCAACAAAATGATTTTCTTAAAAGGAAGATCACATGTATGGTGTTAATTTTAAACTAACTACATCTGCCATAATCAACTTTACAATGCTCTGTCTAATAGCATTTACATCATTGAACCAAGGTCATAAGGGGTCTCCCCAGAGGCTTACTCCATGTGTGGACCCTCAAATGGATTCTGGGCTTCCACTGTCATCCATCACCCGCTGCAAACAGGGTGTTCCGAATTTAAATTTTGATCCCATTCCCTCCTTTGGATTTGGATTTTATGGTTGACAATCCTTGGATCACTCAGGCTGGTGTGCTTCTTCCATGTGGACTTAGTGGACACCTCATTTAAGATGCTTTTATTTCTGTGAGGGAGACACACAAATAAACAAATAATGCATACTTGTAACTACAGAATACTCTGTGCATAGAGTAATACTGTAGGCCTCATGGACTCGGAAGCGGGACTCCCTGAGTTTAAAGACTGGCTCTGTCATTTATTAGCTTTCTGACCTTGGAAAATTGCATAACCTCTCTGTACCTCCGTTTCCTCATCTGTAAAATTGAGATAATAACCACACCTGCCTCACAGGATGGCTATAAAGTTTAAATGAGTTAATATATTTAAAGCACTTAAGTGGGGCCTGGCTCAGAGCAGGGCATTAACTGGGTTAGGTCCCCAAACCACTCACTGCCATCAAGCCAATTCCAGTGTGTCCAGTGCGCAGTACAACTGCTCTCTCTGGGTGACCAGGACTCGGTCTTCACAGGGACAAAAAGTCTCATCTTTCTCCTGTGGGGTGGCTGGTAGATTCAAACTGCTGCGCTTGCAGTTAGCCGCCCGTGTGTGTGTGTGTGTGTGTGTGTGTGTGTGTGTGTGTGTGTGTAAGCCACTCTGCCCCCAGGGCTCTATGGTAACGTGAGTGAAGGGAGAGGGGGGCAAGGTGGTCGTGCAGCTTTTCCAACAGTAGGTTTGAAGCTGAGTCCAGGAAACAGCCCTCCTGCCAGGATGTCACGGTGCATCCGGGTGGGCAGGGGGTGTCGAAAGGAGCCCTGGTGGTGCTGTGGTTAAGCGGGGGACTGCTAACTGCCAGGTGGGCAGCTCAGACCCACCAGCCCCTCCCTGGTCGAATGTGGCAGTCCGCTTCTAGAAGGAACATGGCCTTGGGAGCCACAGTGACAGCCCTGCTCTGTACCGGGGTTCGCTGAATCCGAATCTACTCCATCGCTACGAGTTTGGGGGCGCTGCACTGATCTGGAGTTCCTTCCATGGGACTGTGGCCCTAGCAGCAAATCCTTCTGTGTGCTCCCCTAGATTCCCAAGGATCACCCTGGCTACCCTCCTGCGCTTCCAGGCACACGTCGAAGTGAGGGGACAGGGGTGGCCAAGCCAGGCCTTTCGGAGGAGCTTGGCAAGCTGGACCTTCAGAGGTGAGTCCTGCCCCCACTCACCGCCCCTTCCCACAGCCTCATGTAGCCCCTTAGGAGGCCCCAAGCACCCCCCTAGGAGAAACCAACTTGGGCTGCAGGTTACAAACCCTGCAAGCCTCGCTTCTCCACCTGCACCCCGGAATCCAGAGGGTCTCTACAATGCCCTGGGCAGAGATGGTGGGTCTCAGGTGGCCAGGGGGCTGCGAGTGGGGCCTAGTGGTCACCTGAGGGTCACATGAGAACCCCATCACACTCACCTCAGGTTGCACGTTCCCACCCTCCCAGGACTTGTCACTGGATTAAAGAAGGTGGGTGATCCCATAGTTGGGGGCCCTTGGGGAGCTCACGAATGATCGGAAAACTGTTTTTGATGTTACCTATTTTTACCAGTTCCGTCGACTGGCTGATCAGTGATGTGGCTGCCCAGGACCTGCCGGATCAAACGCCCACCCGGTTGTCTTCTGTCTCCAGGGTAAGGCCAGCTGCCCAGCCCTGTTTCTGCTGTGTTCACCACAACCATAAGGAGGGTGGCCTTGAACTTGACATCACAAAGCTCACTTCACACCTGTTGGCACGCCGGGCATCAGTGCCGGTGGTACTGTTGGTATTACTAACAATGCCACTTTTGCAACACTCAGGAGAAATTTCGCTGGGGTATGTGTTCTAGAACAGGGCTCCTCCCACTTCCATGCAGGGAGACTGCTAACCCACTAACTGATCCTGTAGGCCTGGCTGGGGCCTGCCTTTCTGCGATTCTGTCACAGAATCTGCTGGTCCTCGGCCCACCCATAGAGTAGCCAGACCTGGAGATGATCTCATGAACAAACTGGGGACATGAGGACCCCCAAACCCTTGGGTCTAAAGTGCTGATAACACTATTACAGTCAACATATACTGTTGGTTCAGAGCGCTACGGCTTACAGAGACTTTGTTCTTGTTTTGCAGAAAAGGAGTTGGAAGCTTAGAAAGGTGAGGAGATTTGCCCAGGGAAGAAGACATGAGATACAGTACAAGTATCTCAACTCTGCAGGGTTGGCACCTTCCTACACTTTATTAAAACAGTCTGTCTTAGACGTGGGAGCCCTGGCAGCGCAGTGGTTACACGTTGGGCTGGGAGCTGCAAGTTCCGCAGTTCAAATCCAGTCACTCTGTGGCACTATGGCCAGCCTGTCTACTCCTGTACACAGTTAGCCTCCGAAACCCACAGGGCGCTTCTACTCCGGCCTGTGGGGTCAACACCGGCTCCACGGCAGGGAGTCTGGTCCGGGCTCGGTCTTCAGGGTTAGAAGATAGAAGAAAACCCAGGAAAATGGAGACATCAACCTTTTAAGAATGACAAAGCAGGTATAAGCTTGTTGCTAACAAGCCAACAAAAGTCAGCCAGTACAGGAAAGTACAGAGAATGTTTCCCTGAGAGAATAATTCGTTGACATGTTAGTGTATCTTTCCAGCCTTGAAGAATCTCTCCGGACACTGCTGGTGGCTCAGCAGTGAAGCACTCTGCTGCTGACGGAACGGTTGGCATTTCAAGGCCACCCCGCTGCTGGAGTCCTGTAAATATCGCAGCACAGAACCCCTGGGATTGTTGCTCCTTTACCTGCAGCCCTGGTTGGGCAGCGGTCAGTGCTTGGCTGCTACCTGAAAGGCTGGCCGTTGGAACCCACTAGCTGCTCTGGAGGAGAAAGAGATGGCAGTTTGCTACCATAGAGATGACAGCTTTGGAAATCCTCTGGGGCAGTTTCACTGTGTCCTACAGGAGCCCCGGTGGTGGGGTGGTTACTCTCTGGGCTGTGATTCACCTGGTCAGCAGTTCAACACCACCGGCAGCTCCAAGGGAGAAAGACTGGGTGGGCTTTCTCCTCCAGTCAGCAGTTACAGTCTCCGAAACCCACAAGGGGGCGCTGTGAGTCAGCATGGACCCCCTGGCATGAGGTTTTTGCTGTGTGTTTTAAATTGGGTCCCTGAGAGTCAGAGTTGACTGCAGCGGCAATGGGTTTGGTTTCATTTGTGAATTGAAAATTGGCTCGATTCTTCGTAGATATGGAATCATAATATATTGTTTTACAATATACTTATTTCATTTAACAATATATTGAGGATATGTCTCCTTGTCACTTAGACCAGCAGTTCTCAACCTGTGGGTCGCATCCTCTTTGGGGGTCAAATGATCCTTTCACAGGGGTCGCCCAATTCATAATAGTAGCAACATCACAGTTATGAAGTAGCAATGAAAATAATTTTATGGTTGGGGGTCACCACAACATGAGGAGCTGTATGAAAGGTTCACGGCATTAGGAGGGTTGAGAACCACTGACTTAGACTAACCTATAGCTCCTTTTTCATGGCTACACGGTGTCTTGTTCTTTGAGTGTGCCCTGATTCATTTAACCAATCACTTACTGTTGGGCATTTCGTTTTTCCTCAGCTCTTTGGTGTTATCAGCACTGCTTCAAGCAGCATCGCTTGCCATGCAGATTTTTGGCCATGGCTGAGTATTTGCTTAGGGTAAACCCTTCGGGAGGCAATGAATGATTCAAAAGGGAGTGGAGGTGGTATTCGATGCTGCGGAGTTGGCTCCAACATTCACTGACCCCTAGGTACAATAGAATCAAACACTGCCTGGCCTTCGCCATCCTCACGACGCTGCTGGGTTTGAGCTCACTGCTGCAGCCAGTGTGCGCATCCAGCTTGTTGAGGGCCCTCCTTTTCTTGGCTGCCCCTTTACTTTACCAAACGTGATATCCTTCTCCAAGGACTGGTTTCTCCTAACAACATAACAAGTATGTGAGGCAAAGCTCACCATGAAGTCCTGCCTCTAAGGAGCATTTTGGCTGTACTTCTTCCAAGACAAATGTGTTTGTTTTCCTGGCAGTTTACAGTACTCCCAATATTCTTCACCAGCACCTTAATTCAAATGCATCGGCTCTTCCATCTTCCTTATTCAACGTCTAACTTTCACAGCTATGTGAGGCAATCGAAAATGTCCTGGCTCGGGTCAGACACACCTTAGTCCTCAGAGTGACATCCTTGCTCTTCAACACTTGAACGAGGTCTTGTGCAGCAGACTGACCCCGTGCGATGCATCGTTTGATTTCTTGACTGCTGCTGCTCCCATGAGCATCGATTGTGATCCAAGCAAGATGAGATTCTCAACCACTTCAATCTTTTCTCCATTCATCACGATGTTATCTATTGGTCCAGTTGTAAGGATCTGGGTGTTGTTTACATTAGGTTGTAATACCTGGTGAAGGCTAGACTCCTTGATCTTCATCAACAAGTATTTCAAGTCTTCGTCAGATTCAGCAAGCAAGCATATCGCAGCCTGTTCACAAGACTGCCTCTAATCCTAATGCTGAATTCTTCTTCACATAGCCCAGCATCTTGCATTACTTGCTCAGCAGACAGATTGAACAAGTGTATGCAAGGGTACAACCCTGGTACACACTTTCCCTGATTTGAGACTACTCAGTAGTCCCTTGTTCTGCTCTTCAAGTGACTGCCTCTTAGTCCATGCACAGGTCCCATAGGACAGGGCAGTGTCCTGGAATTCTTTTCAATGAGATCCATAATTTTTTTTATCCACAAAGTCAAATGCCTTTTCATAGTCAATAAAACACAACTAAACCTATTTATGGCATTGTCTGCTTTCAGCCCAAATTTATCTGACATCAGGATTCTTCGCCCTCGCTCCATGGTCTCTTCTGAATCCACTGTGAACTCTGGCAGCTCCCTGACTATGTATTGCTGCAGTAATGTTTTAATATCTGAAAAAGATTTTACCTGCATGTGATATTAATGATAGTGCTTGATAGTTTCAGCATTCTGTGGGGTCACCTTTCTTTAGAATGGGTGCAATAATGGATCTCTTCCAGTCCTTCGGCCAGGTAGCTGTTCTCCACATGTCCTGGCACAGATGAGTGAGCGCTTCCAGTGCAGCATCAGCTGGTTGGAACATTTCATTGGTATCCTGTCAATTCCTAGAGGCTTGTGTTTTGCTAACGCCTTCAAAGCAGTTTGGACTTCTTGCTTCAGTATCACTGGTTCTTGCTCATGTGCCATCTTTTGAAATAGTTGCATGTTGACGAATTCTTTATAGACAGTGACTGTATCCATCCTTTCATCATCTTTCAATGCTTCCTGCATCACTCGATATTTTGCCCATAGGATCTGTCAGTATTGAAACTTGAGGCTTGACCTTTTTCTTCTAGTTCTTTCTGCACGATATATGCTGAGTGCCTTCAGCCTTTTGAGTTTCTACCTGTAGGTCTTTGCACATTTAATTGTAATACTTTATGTTGTCTTCTCCAGCTGCCTGCTGACATTTTCCATTTAGCTTTTTGGTTTTATCATTTCTTCTATTTGCTTTAGCTACTATAGACTTGAAAGTAATTTTCAGCGTCTCTTCTGACATCCGTTTTGGCTTTTGCTTTTTCCCTGTCTTTCTTAATGGCCTGTTGCTTCTTCGTGTGTGATGTTCCTGCTGCCACCCAGCTCATCACGTCTTCTGGCACTAGCACCCGATGTGCCCAATCTGCTCTTGAGATGTTCTCAGAGCTCAAGTGGGATTGATATGCAAGGCAATATTCTGGTTCTCATGGACTTGGTTTAATTTTACTCAACTTGAACTTGAACTTACAGATGAGGAGTTGATAGCCTGCTGCTCAGTCAGCCCTTGCCTTCATTTGAATGATGATTGCATGTGTCTCCATGGTCTCTTCCCACAGATGGAGTCATTTTGATAGCTGTCTATTCTGTCTGGCCATGTCTAGTTGCCATTTATGTTGTTGGGGAAGAAGAAGTCATTTGCTACGAACAAGTTGTTGATCTTGCACAATTCTATCATGCGATCTCGTTTTGTTTCTGCCCCCAAGACCATATTTTCCAGCTACTGCCTCTTCCTCTTGGTTTCCAGCTTTGGCATTCCAATGGACAATAATTATCAAGGAGACTGCATCACAGGTTTGCTTAATGCTACCAACTGAAAAAGTTGGTAGAATCCTTCGGTTTCTTCATCTCTAGGGGTTGGTGTGGAAAATCAAACAATAGCTTCATTTCCTGGCTTTCCTTGTATGCATGTACTTATCATTCTGCCACAGGCAGGACAGCCCTTCGAGACAGACCTCGACATGTTCCTTTTGATGGGGAATGCAAGGACTCTCTTCTTGAGTCTGTCAGTCCCTGCCACAGTAAACGATAGGCTTACTGGATTCAAAATGGTCAATGCCAGTCAGCTCACTAATGCCTAGCATATCAATGTTAATGTGTTCCACTTCATGTTTGACCACTTTTCATTTTCCTGGATTCATCCTTCATCCTTTCCAAACATCAACAGATGTTTGCAACAGTTTCTTCACATTTTCAGTCGTGCCCCATCAGCAAATGAACATCTGGAAAGCTGCACTCCACCCACGTGATTGCGGGTGACTCCACTTTGAGAGGGCCGCTCTTCTTCAGTCATATTGTGAGTGCCTTCTGACTTGAGGGCTCTGGATAGGACAGTGTGAGAACTGCTGTTTATGAACGCTCCAGTGTCTTACGATGTTCTGGTGCTATTCATAAGGGTTTCTGTGGCTCACTCCTCAGCCTATTCCTTCTTTGTAGTCTGTTCTTGGTCTGGAAGCTCTGCTGGAACCTGCTCACTATAGGTGATCCTCCTGGTGTTTGAAGTAGCAGTGACATATCTTCCAGCATCACAACAACCTACAAGCCACCACAGTACGAGCAACTGATAGACAGTGGTGGAGTTTAAAAGGGACACTCATTGATAGTTCTGATACTTTTAGCCAAGTGGGGCCAGTTCACAGGGCTGCAGTAGTAGAACGTGGTGGGGCTGTGACTCCAACCCCAGCCCACCCTGGGGATTGTTTTCTTTTCAGCCTTTACTAAAGTTCTAAGTGAATGCTAGCATCTCATGGTTTTCTTTGCCTGTGAGATTCGCCCTATTTTCACAGGCATCTTGGCCATTCCCACCTCCTCGTTGAGACCATCAACATTTTAACTTATTTTGCAAAACTGAAAGCAGCTCATGTTTAAAAAGGCAGACACCGGGGAACATATTAAGGGCGAGTCAGAAGCCCTAGTGTGGAGCCCTGTTGGACTAACAATAAGGTCAGCAGTTCAAACCCACCAGCCATGCTTTGGGGAAAGATGAGGCTTTCTACTCCTGTAAAGATTTATAGCCTTAGAAACCCACAGGGGCAGTTCTAGTGTGTCCTGTAGGGTCGTTATGAGTGGCAATGGGCTTGACAGTGGTGGTTTTCGTTTGGTAGGTTCAAGGTTGACATTTCATTATACAAAGTGCTCTGACAGACAAAGGAGCAGCAGAACTACGGTTAAGAGCACACATCTATGAGCCAGGCAGGTGAAGGTTCCATGCCACTTCTTTGAGGTCTCAGTAGCTTGCTTACCTTCTCGGAGCCTCAGAGTATTCATCATCAAAACGAGGGCAGCATGGATTATGGGATGGAATAGCAGGAGACGATAGGAGCAGGATGGTGGCTTTTTCTTCCTAGTGAGAAAACGCTGACATGCTCCAAAGGAAATAAATGCATGGACTAAGAAGTCACAAGCAATACAGGAAATGCAACCTGTGGATAAGCATATGCAAAAT